AGTTCAGTTTTTTTATTGTTGATTATTATTTATTCATTTCTGGGGAGGGGGAGGGTCACATGTGTTCTCTGAACTCTTAACTGCCGTTAGAGTTAAGAGTTCAGTTTTTTTATTGTTGATCATTATTTATTCATTTCTGGGGAAGAGAGGAGGGTCCATTTGTTCTCTGAACACTCACCTGCCGTCAGAGTTAAGAGTTGAGTTTTTTTATTGTTGATCATTACTTATTAATATCTGTGGTGGGGAGGGGTGGTTTACATGTGTTCTCTGAACTCTTAACTGCCGTCAGAGTAAAGAGTTCTGTTTTTTTACTGTTGATTATTATTTATTCCTTTCTGGGGAGGTGGAGGGGGAGTTTACATGTGTTCTCTGAACTCTTACCTGCCGTCAGAGTAAAGAGTTTATTTTTTTTATTGTTGATTATTATTTACTCCTTTCTGGGGAGGTGGAGGGGGAGTTTGCACATGGTCTCTGAACTCTTACCTGCCGTCAGAGTTAAGAGTCTAGTATTTTTATTGTTGATCATTGTTTATTTATTTCTGGGGGGGGGGTTACATGTGTTTTCAGAAGCCTTCACAGTCTTCAGAGTTAAGAGTTGATTTTTTTAAATTGTTGATTATTATTTATTTATTTCTCGGATGGGAAGGGGGGGGGGTTGCATGTGTTCTCTGAACTCTTACCTGCCGTCAGAGTTAAGAGTTCAGTTTTTTTCAGTTTTTTTATTGTTGATTATTAATTATTTATTTCTGGGGGGGGGGTTACATGTGTTTTCAGAAGCCTTCACAGTCTTCAGAGTTAAGAGTTGATTTTTTTAAATTGTTGATTATTATTTATTTATTTCTGTGGAAGGGGGGGGGGGCCATTTGTTCTCTGAACACTTACCTGCCGTCAGAGTTAAGAGTCTGGTATTTTTATTGTTGATCATTATTTATTTATTTCTGGTGATGGGACGGGGGGGGGGTTTACATGTGTTCTCTGAATTTTTATCTGCCGTCAGAGTTAAGAGTTCAGTTTTTTTCAGTTTTTTTATTGTTGA